GGACTATGTTTCACGCGTTCCTTTGGTTTGGAGAGGGCTGTTTCTTCCTCTCCCATGCATCTTCATTAGGTCTTTAGCCTCATTTTGCATGAAGGATTTGAACATCTTAAAGCTGCTAACAAAGATTTTTGACCTGCTGCCTTTAGAATAAATAAATCTTCAAGTACTTGGCACGGAGCAGGCATCTGCACTGGGCAGTGCCAAAGTCAGAGCGCCATCCATCTAGTAAAGAAAAAGAGCCAAGGGGTTTGTGCCAACACCGGGAGCGACCAGGAACCGGTTCAGTATCCGCATTTGAAGGGGGTGTTTTATTGGCACGGAGCGGAATAGCAGCGACAGGCTGGGAAACGCCGAGTTTGAAGCTCCAACTCCAATTCGCACCGGAGTTGGTGGTTAAAACCATCTTGTGACCGTTCTGAACAGGATCTAGCTACACTCGGGAGCGTCACGTCAATCACGACCGAAAACCGGGAAGCACCAGCTCGAGGGAACTCACTGTCGCAAACGAGAACAGCCACGTGCAGATTCTGCTCCCTCCTCAAAAAAACACTAAGGCAAAGCTTGATCTCAACCACTGCACACAATTACCCCTTTACAAGCTTGAGGACGACTGTTTGGCAATCCCCGACAGCAGCTCTGGTGGTGCTCCTCTGTGATCCCTCCTGCACATCTTGCTCCATCTCTACATCTACACAACAGCAGGTAAAAAAGGCAATTCCTAAACTGGCTGTTTCAGGTGATGCCGCGAGGGTGACAGCATTAAGGAACGCAACAGCCCCAGCTCTAAGGACGCCGCTTTTCACCACTGCTACAACATAATCCCTCAAACAAAGGGAAGTCAAAAGACTCCTTCGCTGCAGCTCAAGCTCCACAGGCAACAGCCGGCGCTCCTGGTGCGCGCCTGTTCTCACAGCTCCTGTACAGCGCGCTGGGGAGCTGTTTAAGCTAATTGCGCCTGTTGTTCAGCTCACAGCGCTCCTGGGCGATGCAGCTCCTGGCAGGTCAAACCAACATCCCTCCCGCTGGCCTCCTGGGAGCCCCTGTCTCACCTCCGGGTTTTTACAGTCGGGCCTGGATTCCACGGAAGCTGGAGGAACAGCTTGGAGGGCAACACACGTGGCGAATGTGACAGCCACCTCCCCCAGGCTGTTGCGGGTGTCTTCCGAGCGCCACGCTCCGGAGCGGCTCCTGCATCCTCCAAATTCCATACAACAACGATGCTCCAAGTCCAGGCCTCCTCAGGCAGGGATTGTGCAGCTGGATTCTTTCCAAAGGAAGGATTTTTGAGAGAGAGACAAGGTCTGATCTACGCAAGCAAAGCAGCTTTGACATGGGATGGAGGGTGTTTAACCCACCCTCACATTTACTAGCACGGGTTAAAAACCAGACAAGCAAGGGCCAAATGGGAGATTATCAAAGGTCCAGACAAATGGTGAGGCCATGGCAGAAAGAGAAGGACTTGAAGAAGATTTATCAGTTTTCTCTCCTCACTATGAAGGTTTTTTTTTGTGCGACTTGTCTGTTTCTAAAAAACTTAGGTGTCCATTGAATTTGATGCAGGGAGAACAGCCTTGATCTCTTAAAAAAAGACTTATAAAAATAAGGGGCAGAGGAGAAAAGTTTCCCCTGAGGGAAAGCTTCATTCCTTCAAAATAAGGAGCCCTTGGTGGGTAAAACACAAAACTACGGGAAAACGAGTTTCAACGCTACCCAAATCCAAGGATTTGGATTCGGTTTCTCATTTGTTTTTAAAGATAACCTAGTCAGTGGCATGGAAGTAAGGAGAGAAGGTTAAATAAGTCGGACAAGTCACCAAACACCAACTGAGCAAACATGAAATGAGACACATGTATCTGATGTGGCCATTGGGGGTATCAGCGCTAGAACACAAGGTGACAAAAGGCCCCAGGAACAGGGCAGGGGACATCCCAGGAGTCCCCCCACCCGCTTTATAAGGCAGCACTAGCAGAGCAATCAGCACTCGCCACCACAAAGCCCATTCCAAGTCATTAAGAGAGTCATTAGATCAAACATACATGAGGAATAAGAGTTTTACATATTAAAAATAGGAGGAATAGAAAGTGCCTCCCCACCAGCAGCAGCGAGGCTCGTTAGGCAGCTGCTCAAAACTTAAATGAGCTGCAGGGTAATTAGAAAATTCCTCTTCGCAGCACATGCTCCTCTTCCAAGAAAAGTTATTTTGATGTTCTGCCTTTAATGAAACTTGAACGGCGTCCAGAGGGCTCTTGGAGGATAGAATGAAATACCAACTCTCCAGCCGTTCGCTCCATCTGCAGCTTCGTTATATTTCTTTGTTATAGATTGTCTGTCCAAGGATGGAGGCAGGAAATCCCACCAAGACGGAGCTTCTTTGAGGCCCGGACGCCTCTGTCCCTCGCCAGGATGGAGGTAGAGATGAGAAGTGCAGGACAAGAAGCCTCCAGGGAGCAGATCCGACCCCTTCAAGCGTTTTCCTCTAGAAATCGGGCAGGCTGTTGGGCCATTTTTTTTGCAAAATCCAGATGCCTTGGACATCAAGAGCATCTTTCACAAGCTGAGCTGGAATTCGAGCATTGATTTGATCTCATTAAAAGCATGGATTCGATGCATGCAGTAATTCCCACCGCTTGGCGGTTCCAATCAATTGGGGTATTTATTTTGTCTTAGGAAAGTGTAACTCGGGGCTGACCGCAACCGCTGCGTCCGTGAGAAACCCTTCGCGTGGGCAAGGGTCACGAGGAGACGACGCCTTCCCCGGAGCTCCAGACACAGCCCGCGGATCGGGAGGGAGAGCAGCTCCCTGCAGGTCCCATGGGCAGATGGAGCACGCGGCGGATCCCGGAGCAAATCTGCTATTTCAGTCCCAGGTATTTTCCCGGTATATATTTTCAGTTTCCTCCAGCTGGGAAGGGGCTGTGGAGCAGCAGGCAGCACTGCAGGACGACGCTAGGACCAAACATGAAGCACGTTCCCTATTTCAGGGCTCTATTTCACCCCTTGAAGAGCATTAAGCAGTTCCACCACTAAAGAGCAGATGGGTCTGACACCCTGATGGTCCTGTGGAGATAACTGTCCAAAGTAAACAGTTGTGCTACCAAAAAACCTAGTTCTGTTTGATTGGATAAGCAGAATTTTTACAGTTTGCCCTGATTTGCATCTGCAGGATGCATCTTTCCATGTTTTACCAAAACAGAACCCAGTCTTGCCAGGCAGTGGTACTTGGGAAGGCTTGAGGGATTTGGGGAAGAAAAGAGTGATTCGGAAAGATTCAGGAAAAGCAGAGTTCTCCAGGAGCAGCAGCCTGCAGTCTGCACAGCTGCCTAGGTAGATGCAAGCTCCTTTAGAGCAAACTTAAGGTTTAACTTATTTTGCATGAATTAGCAGGAGTGCTTGAACATAATTACACAGAGGATCCAGGCTGCCTAGGTAGATGCAAGCTCTTTTAAAGCAGACTTGAACTTTAAGTTATTTTGCATGAATTAGCAGGAGCGCTTGAACATAATTACACAGAGGATCCAAATCCGGTAAAATTTTAACCGGACGGATAGCGAGCGGTGCCTTTTCTGCATGAACAGTTCAATGCTGGATGAGTCCAAACAGCTCCGGTCACGGAAATGCCATTCCGGCCAGGGAAGCGACGCTGCCTGGATTCACACGGGTACAGCCAGGGCTGTCACTCGATGTCACAGCAAGCCCCCCGAGAGGATGAACACGCCAGACAGACACCCTGCGCGCTGCTGGAGAGCAGGGCTGGGAGGAGAGG